ACCAAGTTCACACCCACCAATGCTAACAGAGTAAGCTGCTAGTATATAAAATGAGACCAAACTCTACTCCCTAGTAGCACTGATGATGTTTCCTAGTTTGGCAATGTCTCCAAGGAAACCACTGAGCCTAGAGAGCACCAAGGACCCCACAATTTAATACTGAGCTGCAAATATTCTCTTCCAACAGTAGCATAGTTAAGAGATTATCAGTGTGAATTGATTGGTATCTAAAGCACTGGTTGGCATGTTTCAATAATGTGACTTGCAGCAGAGAACATTATGCCATTGGATATATAAAGAAAAGAAAGAAAAAAAATGTTAAACTGTGACTCACATGCATTTATCAAATATGCATGTCTTGTGGGTAATACAATAATTACGAACAAGGCATATGTTCTTTGTTTAGCCCAATGAGACCTGCAACAAAATCATAGTTTCAGTGCTTTCATTTAATGTTCAAGCCAACAATGCCTATTATTCCTTAAATTATTATTCCCTCCCCTGCTGTTCTCCACCCTGAAAGGAAACACACTGTAGTAGATGCTACTTCCACTTAGCCTGAATATTTTGTTCTTATTTTCTTGGGTATTTCATAGCATGGTGATAGTTTTCTTCTCAGCAGCTACATTTTAGTTACACAGTAATTGTCATAAATTGGCATCAAAAATCCACTAATAATGGCGTATTATTTCCCCAGCCTAGTACCTCAACTTGAGTTGGCCTTCAGTTGTCATAAATAGAAACCATCAGTCAGAGGCTGAGATAATTGGAAATGATGACAGAAATTTCTGAAGTCCCGTCTAATACATGCAATACCACTTTGGGGGAAGTTGGTAAATATAACAATGCACCTATCCAGGGGTGGGCTGCTGGGGGTACGCAGGGATTCGGGAGAGGCCCTAGCTAAGATTCTGCACAATTTTGAGAACCCCCAAATCCCACCCCTGGTTGGCCCCGCCCACCCCTCCCAGAAGTCCCCAACCAGTCCATTTTGGATGCAGGTAAGTGCAAGGCACTTGGAGAGGCTCAAGTAGGATGAAACACGGGCCTTCTGGAAGTTTGGGAAGGCCAGAAATGGGCCCATTTCCAGCTTCCATAGAGCTTCCGGAGCCCGGGGAGGCTGTTTTCGCCCTCCCAGAGGCTTTAGGAAAGCCTCCAGAGCCATGCCCACCCAGCAACCAGGCACAGAACCTAAAATTTTTGAAGCCTGCCCCTGCACCTATCACACAGCAAGTACTAACCCACATTGTAAAACAACATGCTGTACCTCCAAGATGGTTTTTACCGTTCAGTGTGTCTTTAATACACAATCTGTATATTCAATGTTTTTTTAAAAATTACATCATTATATTTTTTTAAAAAATCCATTTAATCAAAAGTTCACATAGGTTGTTTATAGAAACAATGCTCGGAATATTTGGAATGTTATATTTGGTCTTGTTTTATTTTTCTGATACTGAGTGAGGCTGGATAATCCAGAGGAGAGGCCAAGTTTTCATAATTTGATGCTGGAATGTCAAAAAGACAAATGAAACAACTGAATAAAGGATTGATTTTCATAATGTGATGCCAGTTCAGTGGACCATTTTTTCATCTCTTTTTCAACTCTCTCTCTCTCTCCAATCTGGAATCTACTCATAATGCAAATTTTCTGTTCATCAGAAGTTTGACAGAAAATGGCTCAATTAAAAGGGCCCTTCCTTGGCTGGAATTAGTCATTTCCATACAAGATGCTGGCTTTAACAATTACTTTGGCATGGAGGGAGTAAATGCTTGAAAGCTGTTGTTTTGCTTTTTTCAATTTGTTATGCGATCTGCTGTGATGCCTAACAGTTTTCCAGCATCCACAAGAAAGGAAGAGAAAGAAGTTAAAAAACCTCTGAACTTATCTGATCAATTTAAATAATGTGACATGAAAAGTGATATTTTATTACAACAACTAAGTATCTTCTAAGTGGAACAATGCTTCTTCGCCGGTGCCACAGCTGAACACAGGGGGAAAAACATAATGGAAACTCCAGGTCATCCTGCTGAATTGTTTCATAGGCTTAGCATTGTCTTCTCGTCCCTTCAACATTTCTCCCAAGAGAGAGTGGTTCACAATCCCTGTCTTAGATCCAGATGAGGAGCTAAGTTTTCCTTTGGTTTCCTGTCTACTTCCCAGGCACTGAGGGAGAGGAGCTGAGGAAATTATTTCAATGACAACCAAGCCAAAGCTCTGCCCCTTGTAATAATCAATAGCTGGGAGTCATCAAAATTCCAACACATTATCTTGTTTTCCTTAGCATTCTGCAGCCCAGTTTTTAACAATAGTCATACACCTTTACATTGACATTTTTATGTGCGTTATTTTACTTGGACTATGAAAACTGCACTGAGTCATGAGAAAGGAAACAATGTGGATACATATATTGGGAAAATACAATACAATAAGCACTTGCAAAGAAAAATGTCGGCATAAAGAACTTATCAAGGTATTTTTATATACTGCATCAGGAACATTCATATATAAGGCCAGAAATTTTACCATGGTTCCCATTGCAACTTGGGCCACATAACACAGGCAAAGTTAGCCATTGAGGCCAGTCAGAGTCCCAAGGCCCACAGTACAGGGTCCATTATCCTTACTTACTATAAATATATATTGTACACAGTCAAGCAAAGAATGCTTAAATATTTTAAAATTATGCTTAATAGTTTTACATTTTTTAGATTAAAAAAATATTTCATTCTGGTGTACCATCCACAAGAGAAAGTGTGCCTTTGGAAAGACTGATAATGTCATTTACATATTTAGTTCAGTTTTAGTTTCAGTCTTGCCCCCACCTGCTGGAAAATCGCCCAGGAACACCCAGGCTCATTTGGTGAATATCCCAGCAAGAAAGCACTTCCTTTTCCTCCTGGGACCATTAAGTGCAAAGTCTAAAATAACTATAAACCGGTAATCCTCGACTTACGATCACAAGTGAGCCCAAAATTTATGTTGTTAAGTGAGGCATTTGTTAAGTGAGTTTTGCCCCATTTTACCTTGCCAGTTAAGCAAATCATTGCAATTTATTTATTTATTTAATTTATATTGCCACCTATTCGCCCATGGCGAGTTGTTAAGTTAGTAACACAGTTAAGTGAGTCTGGCTTCCGCATTGACTTTTGCTTGTCTGAAATTTGCAAAAGCTGATCGCGTGACCCCAGGACATAACCACTGTCGTATGGACCAGTTGCGCCAAGCATCTGCATTTTGATCACGTGACCATGGGGGGAAAAGGCTGCAACTTTTTGAAGTTGAAGGGTCAATAAACGAACCGTTGTAAGTCGAGGACTACTTGTAGCCCACTGTTTGGAACGGTGCAAGGGCTGAGCACCACATCAAGCATTTAATGCTGGCCGTGTTAGCGGTCTGTCCCCCTCGGATCCACTGAATGAGCGGCCTCGAGGCTTTAGCGGATCCCTTCCCCGACCTGGTGGTCTCCAGATGTGCCGGCAGAGTCTCCGGGAGTCGAAAGCCAACTCATCCGGAGGGCGTCAGTTTGAACACGGCTCCGTTGGCGCCGGGAAGGGGAGACTTTGGACGTCCCGGGTCGTGTGTATTGCTCGGGACCTGCAGTGTCGCGGAGGCGGCCTTAGCCTGCTGAAGCGCTCGCCAGCAGCCGCCGCTCCGAGCCCGGGCGGAAAGATGAGGCGCAAAAAGCAAGCGGCGCGGCAGGCTTCGCTTTTAAAATTGCCTCCTCGCGCGGGACGGGACGGGACGGGAGGCGGCCATGGAGGAGGCGGAAGAGGGACAGCAGTGTCGCCAAGTGGCCAGCCCCTCTTCCTCACAAACGCCCCGAAAAGCTTCGGGCGCGCTGGATGGAGGCGCCGGAGGAAGCGCTCCAGACGGAACCCTTGCGCTGGGAGGAAGGGGCAACCGGAGGGAGGGGGGGGTCTCTGTCCAAAGTCTTGATCCCGAGATCAGAAGCGGCGGCCGGGAAGGTTCTTCCCGCGTCGCTGGTTAGTTGTCCTCGCCGGCGATCCCTTGCAGCTTATTGCTCCCCCAACAGGCAAAACTTTCTCTTCGCACACAGATCCACACACTGACGTCTTTTGCGCATTTCCTGCATTGGGGAAACAGACACACCGAGCGAGCGAGCGAGCGAGCCAGCTGGGGGAGCCTTCCTCGCCCAGCATCAGGCAAGCCTAGCCCGTGGCACAAACCAGACCAGCGGCCTTGAGGTGGGGAGGGAAGGGCGGGAACTTCGTTTGCCGGCGTCAGATTTTTTTTTTCCCTTTTCTTTTTTTCTTTTTTAAATCGATCCTCTGAAAATAACAGAAAAAAAGAGCCGCCCTCCTTTCCCGAGCAGGTCGATCGGGAGCAGTTTCTCCTCATGCATTGGGTTCGATCCCCTGGATCCTTGGCCTTGGAAGAGGAGGAGGAGGAGGAGGAGGCGGAGAAGGCGAGGAAGCTCCTGCAGCAGCCGAGGCGGATGTAAGGTTCCTCGGACTGTGTGATTTCCCCCCCCCCTTCCCCCCTCCCCTTCAGTCGGAAGGCTGCGAAGTGGGCAGGGCTGCGCGCTAGGTTCGGTGTTCCTGGGTGTTTGCTTTTCTTTCCGACCCCCTTCCCCCTCCTCTCCTCTCCTCTCCCCTCCCTCCCCTCCCCTGTTGTTCCTGCCGCCGCCGCCGCCGCCGCCGCCGCCGCCGCACAGGCAAGTCAGCAGCAGAGCGTGAGCGGCGGATTGCTTTCAGCGGAGGACTGCTCAAGGATTATGCTCTGAAGAGAGAAAGACGAGGCGGGGGGGGGAGTCTTTCTTTTAAGAAAAAAAAATATATATACGCATATACATATATAGACCTAGATACGTCCCTGTGTTCCCCGCTCCGAGGATTCTTTTGAATGTGCTGCGATCGCATTTCGGATTTCTGCAAGCAGCAACGCGGTCCCTCTCCCCTTCCCTTCTGCCCCCCCCACCCCGCCCTTTGTTTTTCCGTTAAACACACACACACACACACACACACACACACACACACACACACACACACAGGCCAATCTCTCTTAAATATATGCGTGTGTGTTTGTATGCATGTGTATATACACATGCGTGTATATATGAATGTATGCCTGTATGCATTCACTGGGTGTCGCAAGAGGAAAAACTAGCCAAAGCCACCGAAAGGAGCCCCCTGCACCCACCCACCCCCAGCTCCACTTAAACCTGCCTTCTTATTTATTGAGACATCTCCTTGAAACCTTCCTGGCTCCGGAGCGTGCTTAATCCCAAAGAAAAGTGAAGCCATCTAACCATGGTGGTTTTTAATGGCATGCTGAAAATTAAAATCTGCGAAGCCGTGAATCTCAAACCCACCCCTTGGTCGCTAAGGCATGCGGTGGGTCCCAGGCCACAGACCTTTCTACTGGACCCATACATCGCCCTCAACGTGGACGATTTCAGGATCGGGCAGACCTCCACCAAGCAGAAAACCAACAGCCCTGCCTGGAACGACGAATTTGTTACCGATGTTAGTAACGGCAGGAAGATTGAAATGGCCGTTTTCCACGATGCCCCCATCGGGTACGACGATTTTGTGGCTAACTGTACCATCCAGTTTGAGGACTTGCTGCAGAACGGGAGCCGGCACTTCGAGGACTGGGTGAGTGCTCCTGAGGTTGTGCATAGCAGGGCCAGGTTGTTTTTGTGGCTTTGAGCTAGATGAAGGTTACCCCCTTTGACAGATGTATCTCAGCCACACACGCTTATCTTGGACCCAGGGTTCAAGCAGGTGGCTGAAGCATGCTTGCAAGTACATAGCAGATGTGGTGTCTCAAATCTGCCTTGTGAAAAGGAAGATGCTGCTATTCTTCTTTTTAACAAGAAGGCAATGGTAGTTTGAATCTTGATAGCTAGGATTTAGGGTCCTCAGCTCTGCCACTGACTTAAATACCCCAATAGACATCTAGCTATATCTCTACTGCATGATTAGGGTTGGTTGCCATTTGTTTATTTGACCATCTATTCATTCAGCTTCTAACCCACTGTAATCTGCTGGGACTCCCAGCTATTAACACATTTATATTCATAATGCGGCTCTCCAGAACAATAGAAATAAAGTATCCAGAAACAAGTTCCCCCACAACCAAACCTAATATTTTCTGATGATGAAGATGTCACATTTGCCCCTTTTATTTCCCAAAATTTAAGATTATTATTTTTTTGCTATTGCAATCCAGCCCATCTTTTTTAAGCGCTGGTGGTAAAATCAAGGTTCTGGAGGTTCTTTCTCTGTTTTATACCCTTGCTGCATAGCATGTGTCCTAATCATGAAAGAAAAACAGGAACTGCAGAATTCTTAGATAGGACTCTTCGATTCTGAGATATCATCTTCATCTGCTTTGTTTTCAGCCATCAGGATGGACAGGCTGACTGTTGGAAAGTACTGTAACTTATGCTCAGGCAACACGTTTATTTAGCGTTTCAGGAAGTCATGATGCAACAGGATTGGGGTGACAAACTTTATCGAACATCACACAGCAGGGTGCGATTGACTGATAGAACATGAACACTGGCTTTAGATATGAATCTAGAGGAGTCAGTCAATTATGATCTTGATTCAGGCTGAGCAAGAGCTGTGAGTAGAGCTTCTTTCAGGTCCATTTGCCCCTGAGATCTTACATAGGGTGATCTCACTAAAGAGACTTGAGCGTGCGTGTCTCGTTTGTTTATTAGTTGGCTTTGGGTAGAGAGTAACAAATGAACTGGGAGATTAGCATAGATTTTCACATCCCTCAGTTGTTTCTTTATTCACTGCGGGTGTGGAGTAGAAAAGGGGCTAGAATCTCATAGAGACAGAGTAATATTTTCAACAGGCAGGCACAACACGTTCTAGGTGATTTTTGCAAGGATTACACAGCATAACTATGGACAGTTCCACAGTACTACTTTGTACCATCTTGGGATCCCTTTCAAATCTGACAGTCTCAATAATATTTCTTTGTCCATTTTTGTAAAATTGTTTCAACAATATTTCTTTGTCCATTTTTGTAAAATTGTTTCCAATTTATTAGAAATGCCAATCTTAAGGGAAATCCTACACATAGAGGTCCAGTGTCCAGTTCCCAGAGCTTCTCTTCCTATACAGAATATTTAAAACGTATCTCCTCTACCATACTAAGATGCAACTATGGTCAAGACTAATTGGAGGGAAAGACTGGTTGCATTTCACTTTCACAATTCATGGGGATGCTGAGTATAATTGGTGACAAGGTAGTGAGAAGTCTTTGGAATATTTCAGTGCTTCTGTTCACATTTATTTACAATTGATCTTCCCTCGTGGTATCCAAATAGTCTGATAGATTTTTTTTTTTGCAGACAACTGAACAGATACTTAAAAGCAAATGAAGCACTGAAAAAATATAGGGTGTTCATAGTTATTTTATTCCATGTTTTGGATAGTAGGGATGAAATGGCTTCTGTCCATCACAACTGCTAATACAGAGTGAGAGACACTGATTTGGAGGAGGGCGTTTGCACTCTATTGATCAGATGGGGAAAGAGGCTGAATACAGATTAGGTCATGATGTGGGGTTTGTTATGTTTTTGCATTTGGCAGAAATGAAGATAGTTTTGGGTCAACTTCAATATATAATGTTAAGGATGGGGAGGACAAACTCTGGTAGGATGAATGTATAAAACACAAATAAAATATATTTAATAGAAAGCAATTAACTAGTGTCTGTACGCTGTAAAAAAAAGGTAAATTTCTTGAAGACTGTTATAAGAATTGGGAAGTAGATAAGCCTCTGATGTAATTCCTGTTTGTTTTTAAAAGTAATTCTTTGTATTATATAAAATGTGTATACCTGTTCAAAATATATGAAAGTTCAGAGATAAATTCAGTGGTAGAAGAATTGAGCAAGTGCAATTGTGGTCCCAATTTTTGAGAACTATTTTTCTTGGGACTATTTCCTGCACTTGGGTAGATGCATTTTATTGAACTCTTATTTGAAGAGTATATTTTGGATTCAGATGAAAGTCAGCAAACATTTGAACTGTTATGAGTACACAAATTCTGATTTTTTGAACTTTCAGAATGTTATTAAGGTAACCTCATTCTTCAGAGCATGTGCAAACTCCTGAACTAAACATATATTTCTTAGAATCTTCTAGAAGTCATTGTTAGTGTGATTAATTATGTGTATGACACATTTGATGCACAAACATTTTATCATATTTAAGAATCCTTTGCCAGGTCTTCACTATTCTTATTTTATAAATGGGGTACTGAGGCCAAGATTAATAAATTATGATGCTTTTTGTCATGCATTGCCTATTTCTCTTGGGTGTGTGCTCCAGACAGTGATATCTTCTATCTAGAACCTCTTTTTTTTTTTTTACTGCTTCTTCCATATTTTGTTCTTACCACAAAAAAAAAAAAAACAATTCACTAAAGGGAAAATACAGACAGGCAGGATAACAACTTTTGATTGGTAGCATTAGTAATATTTTGCTTGAAACCACCCCAAGAGTGACTTTATAACATCGTGATATTACCCAGCATATTATTTATTGTGGTTCCCCACACAGTCAGCCAGATGTTTAGACTAGATTTAGCATTTTTATCCACCTATTGAGTGCTTCCCAAGGACTTGGGAAGAGAATGATGATGATGATGATGATATGAGCAGAGAAAGACTGAATTTGGTTGCTCAACATTAGTCTATTTTTCTTCCATCACCACAGTAGCTTTCCAAGCCCAGTTGAAAAGTGCATTTTACAATAGGATAAAGTCTCTCCAATGAGAAGGATATTACCAAGCACTGATTTATAGCTTCAAGTGTAGTGCTTCAGGAACATTTACAAGAAAACAGATGCTGCTGGGTGAGGTCATACATGGGTACTGGGTCAGGGACCATTAATATAGATTCTCAGAAAGCTGCAAGTAAAAAATCAGCCTTGTGAAATAAATTTGGGTTATTTTGTTCTCTTAGCAGATTGAGAATGCTTTGCCAAGGTCTGAAGCAAAGGCTTTCCCCAATCACATAACTAGGTAACTGTTGTTTTTAAATGGATTAATTATAAAGTCTATGCTCTCTGTTCCTTAGGACCAAAATTTCCTTTTGGATACAAGAAAAAATAAATCAAAGACATAAAGGAAAAAACCCTCTTAAATTAGTCATGCAGTAATACTTCCTAGAATTCAAATGTCTAGGTGGCAAGGAATCACTTTTTTGGGGAGGTGATAGTCCACAAACTTAAAAAAAAATGCTTTCAATTTGCTTCTGCAGATATGGCAGAACTGAGTGTGAGACAACGAATATATTTACTTAGGTTATTCTGCTCATGTTCTCACCTTTCACGTGAAGCACTAAGAAGCTGAGGCTTACAGGAGTTTTGCTTTTTATAAAATGACAGGCTGCTTCAGTTTAAGTTTATCTCTCAGTCTTTAGAAATCAACGGCAGAACAGATAGTGATTAAGGAAGCACTTCACAGAAGTCAAAGGAAACACTGCTTTGTTGAAAGGTCTCTAACCATCACATGGATGAAGTCAAATGCTGCAACCACCTTGCTAAAACTGTCGATCTGAACAGGGAGTAGATAGGAAACAATTCAGTATACAGCCTGACAATTCAATGTACAGGTTCTTAATTGTTCTGTGATGTGTGACAATATAGATATAAGGTAATAAAGCTGCTTTATGGGATGTGCAGAGTGAAATCCTGGACTGATTTCTAGTCAGCAAGGAATTACAAATAACCTAGCTCACCAAAATGTAAAAATTGTTGGTGCATGCCTAAAAAAAGATGCATAAATATAGTATATGAATCAATCCTTAGCAAATGCTCCCCAACTTTAGCATAAAGAAGCACAGAGCAAAACAAATATAATTAACTGATTTTGAAGGAATCATGAGAGTATTACAATCCCTATTAAAATTGTTCTTAAAAGGGAGCGAAAGGAAGGGGATACATGAGCTTCAACACCATATATTACCATAATTGCCTATTGAAATCCATAACACGGCTACCAATTTCAGGTCTTGAAAGAGAAACAATGATTGTGTTTTCAGGTCTGTAATTGAAATCAATTATAATTATGGTTTCCTGACAATAGCTTTTTGATTTCTTAAAAGTTTAAAAAAAAAACATGATAAATCAGATATTTCTAAGCTGCATATTCAGCGCTAGATCAATGTGTTAAAATCAGTTGAAGAAATAAATGGTGCCAACATATGTTGACAAGGAATATATGTGAATCATTTTAAAGAAGCTAGTGACATTTCAGATCTTTTACTCCATTTCTGATTCTGTCTTCCTTGGCAGATAATTGTGTTGGTTGGCCATAATTATTCCTTTAAACTTTGAAAGTGATACACTGCATATCCTGCCTGTGATTACATCTTGGATCTGCCTATGAAACAGGTCTTCCTCACCCCTCCTTCCCAGTAGCAAGCTGAACAGCTATGTCCCATATATAAAGCATATTTATGCCCATATTAGCATGCATTTTCATTGTAATCAATTTCATGTTAAAATCCAAATAGAGGTGATTTGAATCAAATTACACCAGTCAATATGTAGTCAATACATAGATACCAGTATATATTTTGAATTATTACATTGACCCTTACATGGATCTTTTTGCACAATATTTTC